CAACAGAGATAGAGTTGTGTTAGTATGTTATAAATTTTAGAGTTATGAATTGTAAATTAAGTCGAACTCTAATAGGTTTCAAATCAATCTAATTTTTATATCCATCTAACAGGTACATAATTTGAAAAAAAATATATAATTATATAGTTTCAACTCATCAAGATATCAACTTTATATTTTAAATGAAAAAATAAAATCCAATAAAGATTAGTCTTTCATTTTGAAAATCATCTGCTTTTCAATTATTTTCAATTATGAAACGTGAGGAACAGTAATATCCCTTTTCTTCATCAATCATTGTTTTGTTCAGTCATGTCTTTAGACATAACTTTTGAAGTTTACCAAATCAATACTCTCCAAGCCAAATCAGAAAGTAAGGATAGTCTTCCAATTAACTAACTTAATAAATTCATAAGTTAGAATTAATAGCCATTATAAGTTTCATGAAATGGATAACATTGGGTATTACATTAACATACCTTTAAAGAGAAATGCCCAACACTTTTTCATAGACGGACCAAAATCTAAATTTCTTTTATTGTCTTTTTTCCTAGTTTGTGTTGCAAATTATTCTAAAAATTGAAGTAAGGCTTCACTTATTAAACAATTTCAACCACATACAAAAATTATACATTAAGCATTATGGACTATGATAACAAAATTAGAAATTAAAAAAAAAATACCAATTAACAAATCCCAACCACCTAAGTTGAAAATCTCATATCCAACATTTCCTATGCAACCCAAAAAAAAAAAAAAAAAGGAAATTTGGTATTTGAAGAAAGTTCTACATGTTTCAGCGAAAAAGAGGAATGTGAAAATCACTTATAAAAGAATTTCAAAAGCTGCAAAAACAACTCACAGGAGCAAGGAAAACACTGCATCTCTTACTGGGATAAAAATATTTTGAAATGTTAAGATCAATCTCTATTGATGCAAAATTAATCCACTGCTCAAAGTGGGCTTAAAAAATGAAAAAAATATACCATAATAAAGATTGTGTAACACACAACAAAATTTACTCGGACATCTCTTGAATGCAAGAATTAAAAAAATATTAGAATGATAAAGGTCTTACATAATCAATTAGAGTAGAATCATAAAAATGATTGTCAGCCTTCAAGCTGGTAATTGTAACCAACTAAATAATTCTCATGAGTTTGTAGGAAATATTAAAGGACCACAAAGGACCAGGGAGAGAGAGGGAGAATTATTCTCACCATAATGACCAATGAAATTATGACTAAAGATTGTTGTTTTGCAATATCTTATCTCAAAGAAATACATTTCCAATAGGGTTCATCTTTAGAAATTGAGGGGCTTTGTTAGATACACCCAACTCAGAATTCTCAACCAGTTTCACATCCACACCACTGTACCTTGCAGCAATGAGTACCTTAAATGGTTCTAGATGATCAACTGCTTCGAATGTACTAACCATATCAAAAAGTATGGATAAATAAATTAAGTAATTCAATAACTACAAAAATCATAATAATCAACCATAAAAACTTAATTCTCTCATACACTTAACGTCCAAACATTAACTTCCTAAGGCATTTCTCAATCAAAATTCATCCTATTCATCCAAACATACTTTTGTATAACTCATTTACTATTATTATAATGTTAAAACTTCCCCAACCATTGTAAAGAGTATGGGTAAATAGATTTAAGCAATTCATGTACAACTTGCCTAGCTCAACCCAGGTGAGCCACACATAGGTCTGATCAAGATCAAGCAAATATGTTTATGGAATTATATGGATTTTCAATTTTTAGTGATTACTATTATTAAAATGCTAAAATCCTACCCTCTTCCTCCCCTACTATGCTTATTTTTTCACCTCTAATCCCCCGATTGGGTTGCCTAAGTTGAAGTGGAAACAACTCCAACATCAATGACACTATTGCTTTAGTTGTAAATTGATAATAACTACTTCATCTTTGATTTCAAGTTTCAACAAAAAGCATCATAGATATATCAAATATCTTATCAACAAAAATTATCAAATTTCAAAAAAAAAATATCAGAATAAGAAAACAGTATGAGATCCAATAAAGAAAAAGTAAAAAACTTCAAGATACAAGAGAACTTAGGCTAGTGATTCCAATGAAAATGGAGTGGAACTCCTCTATCAGAGGTCCACACATCAACAATGCTTTGATGGGTGCAGTGCTTCCAATCCAACACGGAATCCAACACGGCCATTGTCAGTTTGATTTAGGGAAATAATAATGGAAAATCAGGAAAAAAAAAAAAGGGGTGGAGGAATTGCAGAGACAGTTATGAAAAGAATGGCCACCTGTTTAACATTCATTTCGGCATAATTTCTGCACAACATCTCCCTCCCAGGTTTTTCCCCTCACCCACTATCCACTTATTGGCCTTAATCTTCATAATCCAATGACTTTGCTATCTCTTTTAGATCTGATTGTATGGGGAAAATGTGATTCAAGCACGGTAAGAGAAGTAGAGAGAATAGTAGAAAGGGGAGAGCGCCAGAGGGGAAAGAAATTGGAATGGACAGGGAAAGGAAAATGAAAGAAACAAAAATGCTGAGAAAAATATAAATAAAGATGTTAATTTTATATTTTTATTATCTAAGAATTTTTTTAA